AAAAAAAATAAAAATAAAAAATAAACGAAAAAAAATATACATTTATACATATTATCATAAGACCAAGAGTCACTGACACAGCACATCTTCTCAGCATATCAGATCTCGTACCTCCCTCATCCCTTTTCGCCCTCCCCCCTCTCTCTTCATCACACAACACAAACCTCTCGTCTGATCTATCTTTACAATCATTATGTTTCTTGTGTTACTTAATACTCCAGGTTCATCTCTTTCCCAAGAGGTTTAGATCCGTTTGTTTACCTTGGTTCTTCTCTCGCTTACAGCCGTGTCAGACTGTCCAGTCGAGAAATGTGTTTTCGTCCGAATTCCGATTTAAACCTACAAAGTTCCCGTTTGTTCACTCAAACACACAGAAAGAGATAGATATATAGATAAATAGATAGATAGATAGATAGATAGATAGATAGATAGATAGATAGATAGATAGATAGATAGACAGACAGATAGATAGATAGATAGATAGATAGATAGATAGATAGATAGATAGATAGATAGATAGATAGATAGATAGATAGAGGGAGAGAGAGGGAGAGGGGGTAGGGGGGAGGAAGGGAGGGAGGGAGAGTGAAAGTGAGAGAGAGAGAGAGAGAGAGAGAGAGAGAGAGAGAGAGAGAGAGAGAGAGAGAGAGAGAGAGAGAGAGAGAGAGGAGCATAGTGGGGGCCGGGGAGGGGAGGGGGGAGTGGAGATGAAAGCAAATGAAAGAACAAATCGTCGCAGGCAGATTTCAATTGAAAGGCAAAAGCCGTACCTTTCGACCAAGAGAACCCTTAAGTCTTCTCTTATAGTTTCTTACCTAACGATACTGAAAACATCAGAGCGACTTGACGAAGTAGAAAGAGGCTTGGCACCAGATCAGAATTTCATTTTGCTGATCATTTACGTAACTGAAAATAACAATAATGAGAAATCCAAAAAGATGAATGTCAGTAATTTTCTTAAAAATAGCTGTCATGATGGTTTCAGGCAGACATGCCTACTCTATGGATGTCTAGAGGAATAAGATCAAATTCAATTAATTGTAAACTGGATAGAACCGATACTAATTTATCAACAGACTTCTCACCAATGAGAATTCTAAGGACAGAAACTAGACAAATATATTATAAGCCAAAATGGAATGGTTCTTGGTGCTTATTTTATACTTACACAGCAATTAACTTCGGCAATTTAATTGGAGTAAATATAAACATAATTACCTGAAATACCATAATGCAATATCAACACATTATCGTTTATGAGGATGTGTGATATTTGTCTAATAATTTTTTATAATTATCACCTTGCCAAATTGTCATCAACCAATTTTTGAAACGAGTCAAATAGAAAGTTAAATTATGGAACTGACGCCCCCCCCCCCCCTCTAAAAAAAGCAGCCAACAAAGACACCCCCACCCCCCTCTAGAAACATTGGGTTGTGGAATTATCTGAGTATTTCAAACAGGGTTTGTCAAATTCTATAATGATTTATGTGTTCAAGGTGAGACTAAGACCAACAAATTACTTCAAAAGCAAACGTAGTTTTCAAAAACACTATCACAAAGTGGTAGTTAATGGACCAACGTGCTCAACAAGATCCCCATTATATCAAATTTCATACACATTTGTAATGATCTGATGAAATTAGATTAGTCCTTTCGTTTTCTACTTCGAGTCTTATGGGAAAGTTTTCAAATTGGTATCTCCCCAAAACGCTTTGTTTGGTTATAAAATGGATTTACATAAACAATCGTTCGCTTTCGATAAGAGCTAAGACGACCCATAGAGAAGAGGCACACCCAGAATTTTAATGTAGGACGTAGCTTTGCCACATTGTAAATTTGCCTTTAGTTTAGATGAAAGAAACTTTGTTATATAGACCTGAGCTAAGAATTTACCAAAGCTAAGAATTTACCAAACTGAAAAAGTTGAAGATGCAACCGCCCGCACAAATAAGCTTTCTCAACAACAGCAACGGGACTGGCTGCTCTTCTCTCTCTAACTCTAATACTTCCCATGGTGTGGAGTGCTCTGTTGTGGAGGATATTACAGACAACAAACGACCCCAAGGACTGATTAGTGCTGAACAGCTAAGATTAATTCAAATCGTTTTAGCTGGAGTAGTCTTCTTTGTGATAGAAGTTTTTGGTATCCTTTCAAACACGGCCAACATCGTAACATTCATGAAAATAGGACTCAATGACAGCGTGAACATTTCCTTTCTCGCTCTATCTGTGTCGGACTTGTGTCTTCTGTTGGTTTCACTTTTTAACTGCCTTGCTTATCTTCTCAGTGAGTTCGACATGGCCTGGTCTGTTCAGCCAATATCACTCACGTTATACGGGACAACTTATAACCAACTGTTCCTTGACACGTCTATACTGACCA